CCCCAAAACCCCAAAACCCCAAAACCCCAAAACCCCAAAACCCCGAGCCTAGTGCTAATTATTGGAAAATATCAAAAATGAGAATCTTTATGGAATCTATCCTGAGGTGGTACACTCTCTAGTTAAGTTTTCTGAAACGTGCCAAGTCTGCATAATTTTTAGGTCCTTTCATTGGAACACCGTGACGGTTAGTTTGAACAGCATTTTTCCTATTTTTACGTCTAGGAGTTATACATCTAACTTACTCTTTCATCTTGAGACTTTTTGTCGTGGAATTGTTACTTGATATAGACTCATCCAAAGCTTGTGATTCTAAAGCTCCAGTTCTTTCAGGAACCTTCTGGGAATGAATAGGCTGACCAAGTTGAAGTTTATCAAGACCTCCAGCAGGCTTGCCTTGGTTCAGATAGCTTTGCTTGTTTTTCTTGTTCTTCTTTCTGAGGGTTGCTTTTGGAATTTTTCTTTCGTCAACTCTAAAAGTAGCTGATTCGAAATCATTTTGTCTACTTTCCTTATTTGAGTTTGCAAAAAGTTGTTGATGCTCATGGTTAGGGTTAAACTGATGATTTGTGAAATCTCCAGGCTCATTAGTTGGCTTTCTCCCTAAATTAAAAGTGTCTCCTTCCATTATCATCTCCTTCTGCATGTTTGTAAATGGTTGCTTGTTTATTCTAAATTCTTCCTCTCTTGATAATCTCTTTGCTTCTTCTCTCTGAGCAAACTCGTTGCCTTGCCTCAAGGAGTTGTATGGCAAGATATCCTCGATGCTATAGCTTACTGGCAATGAGATTACCTCTCAACATCTTTCGAAATACGGGTGTTGTAATTATTGACTCTATCGTACTCTTCATCAGCATAATCTTGTGCTTCAGGATCGCTTTCAGGATATTGAGCTACAACTGTGAAGATTCGGCATTACCTTTGACATATCTAGGATTGTTCATGATTTCATGCTCGAGGCCTTCAACTCTTTTCTCAATAGATGTTTCTTGTTGAACGTTGATGTAATTCTGGCTTTTCTTTTTGCCGTATATTTTCTCTCCTTTCTTCTTGCTAATTTTGATATCGTCTCTTTTGTACAAACCTGTATGATTTCTGTTCCTGCATTGATAGAGTTCAAGGTCGCCAATATATCTAGAACTTTAAGAAGAAATTTTACTTTTCAATAGTGACTATTTCTCCCTCTAGGAGTCTCAGATTAGGATTTATCTGACATTGAGTATTTCTCAGAACAATTCCTACTGTTCTTTCAGCAACTATGGGTTAAAATTTAGCCTTACTCTGGTGTTCTTTCTCGGGAGTCGGTTTTTTCTTAAGGAATTGCTCCTTAGCAATCTTTCTGATTTTCTTTGTTCTGGTATCATAGTTTACTTGCTGGATGCTTCCAGATATTATATTTCTTTCATTTGAGTTAGAGTTGTTTCTAAGATTTTCTGGTTGTTCGTCTTCGTCACCTTCGATGCCTAGTTCTGAATAAGAGGTAAGGCCAATTTGGGACCTGCTCTCTTGTTGATGATAGCTTTGTCTTGGCCTACTTCTTGATCGTGACTTTGAACCATCAGTATAACTTCTAATGAATTTTGCTTGTTCAGCCATTATCTGAGTATTCTGCTGCATTAGCATCATCATCTGTGTTAGCAATGGATTCAAGGCTTGATTTTGCATCATATCTTGATGAGAAGGGTTCATTGGTTGTGGCATAGTCTGACCAAGACCAAAGTTTGGAGCATCACCTAAGTTTTCCTCGGGGTTTCTAAAAGGACTGTTGCTGTTCGAATTTCTTGAAAACCCTCCCATGCTTGTACTGGGATAAAAGTCAGGATTTTGGGTGGGCGTTGTAGGATGATTCTTTCCTAAATCCCCCATGTTCATCATATTTCTTGCCTGCTGTTGGGATGCATTCATCATTGATCCTGGTGTTTGAGCGTCAAAACCATCATTATATTGAGTAGGGTTGTTATTTCCTCTTGTCAAACCTCTTTGCAATTTCTGTATTGAGATCACCTTTGCTTTAGCATTCTTGAGCTTAGTATTCACCATACCATCACCAATTCTATTATTCTGGGTAGCTACAACAAATTCCTTCTCTCCAAAGTTCTCACTGCTATGAATGGAATACTTAGAATTTGAAGATTTGCTCGCATTCATAGGATGCTCCTTCTTAGATTCATTTATCTGTAACTCATAATTTTGCTGTAATCTCTTTTGGGTATTCTGAGAAGTTCGATTTTCAACTTTTGATAAGTTCTCTTTAAATCTCTGGTGAACTTCTTCATCCGAATCTCTGAATGATTAAATTCGAAAACTTACTCTTTATTTGTGGGGTCATCGTCAATATGATTTTCTTCTATGACAAAGATTAACCAAGAAAGTTACCATAGGGTAGCGGTTGCTTCTCCTCTTCTTTGGTATGGTGGTCTTTTTCGTCATAAAACTGATCCTCAGATGTAGCACTGATTTGGTACTCATCCTCAAGCGGATTAAAAGTAGCAATCCTCTCTTTACCCTTGGATATTTTGGATTTATGGCTGCTCTCCGCAAGAGTGTTCCTAGTGATGAACAAAAAGAGTTTACTTTTTCCTATCCATATCGTTTGTGATATTAAGGTCTTCATCTTCTTCATGAATGATTTCTTTGATTCCCGTCTTTCCCACTTTGTCAACCCTGGTTTCTTTCTTGAAGGAACTCGATTTATTTGATGAATCAAGTTTGTCTAAAATAAGTAAGTAAAGAGTACTATGAATTTTCACTTTCTCAGAGTGCATCTTTTGCATTTGAGGAATATCTGGATTTCCAAGATCGTTGGTTAACTCTGGTCCTAATAGAGGCATTTTAGCTCTCTGTAGTGCTGCTGACATTCCTGCAGAAGATTCTATAGACATTATTCAAGCAAATTTACCGCTGTCAATGGAGTATAATCTGTTAGATACCATTGAAGAGGGTTTTATAGCTATATCAATGTCTATGTATTAATCATCAATACTAACCTTGAAACCCAACATCTCTCAGGCATTCTGGCTTCTTTCCGAGGATGGTAGCTTGGAAAGCATTTCCCTTTATGGCATTCTCTGATATCTGACCAAGGAAATAAGTCATATTGATATTAAAGAGTCCCTTTATGGAATTAGCTGTGTCTCTTATCAAAGCCTCTTGATTTGACGGCTGCATAGAGTCATTCGTAAAGTTTGACAGTCTCTTTTTCTCTAAGATTGCCTGGAACTTGCTTGCTCTCTTTACATAAGGTGCCTTTTTGATTGAGGATGAACTATTGTTAATTATGGCACCTTGTCTCTTTAGCATTGAGCCAAGAGAAGTTTGTCCTTCAAAATTCGTAGTATTCCCTCCGACCTTCTTATTTTTCGGAGCTTGATTTTTGATAGGGAATGTAATATTAGCATATCTCTGGGTGAAGCTCTCTACAATAGCCTTTGTCTTCATGTACTCTATGGATGTGATCCAGTCATCTCTCTCGCTTTCTGTCTTTGCACCAAATACAAATTTTCTTGGAGGTTTATCTTGATTCTTCTTTTTCCATGCTGTACAATCAATAAAAATATCAGATGTCAGTTTATCTGTTTTAGCTGGAATCACAGAATAAATAGCCTTGAAAGGAATAGATCCAAGTGGAGTTTTCTCATGCTTTGCTTCCTCTTGATTATGGAACCATTGTAACTCAGTCCTAGTGAGTCTCAGGTATCGAGGCTCAGTCGTCTTCTTAGCTTTTTGACCTTGTTTAGTAAGAAAGCCATCTTTAACAATTTTCCTCTTCTTGTCGATCATGATATGATAGAGTTTCTTCACTGTGATAGCTTGCTTAGCTTTAAAGGAAAGCTTGTCTTCTGTTGATTTATCTTCAGCTACGAGAATATGATTCAAAAGTCTATTCTGCTCAATCTCATAATCTATCTCCAGATTAGTGTTATTTTGGATGTAGTCAGCCGACAGCTGGTGTAGATTCTTCTTTTGCCCACGGAAAAGCAATCTCTGATAGAGAGTCTCTCTTAAGAATTTCTTGGTGAATCTACAGATCCAGTTCTTAGCATCATTATCATCAATGATCTCGATGAAATCTCTTGATTGGAGGTCTATTAGGATCTCCATTATGGTTTCAATATCTTCGCTTATGAGAGGATTTATGAACTCTAGCTGCTTTAGAGTAAATATCTCTCCTATCACTGATGCTGCTTTGAGCAAGATTATTCCTTTGACCTTATCTTGAACAAATTTTGTGTTCAACTTTCTTCCTTCCTTTAAATATTGATCTAGGAGATGCCCATTAATCGCACTCATAATGTTGGGGACACTCAGAGGAGTCCAGTCATTGAGTTTATATCAATTGAAGAAATTTTTACCACTTGGATAGAGTACTTTATCTTTTGTAATAACCATGCCATTGGTCATCAGATTGATTAAAAACTGCATGCTTCAAAGTGGATTTCCTTCACATTTTTGCATAATAACTTCCATAACGTCTTTTTGAATATCGTTAAAGTAATCTGTTATGTTATATTTCTTGATCATCTCTTCAGCAATCTTTTTAGCCTGGGTTTGAGCAGCTATTCCGTTATCTTCCTCGACAGGTTGAGTCATTTTCTTGATCTCATCTTTCATCTCAATCTCGTATTGGCGAGAGAAATCGCAAAGAAGTCTCTTAATTTCTTCCTCTTCGAGATCTGACAAATCGATCATCACATCATTGTTGTCCTCAGTTCCAAGGAATTCAGCAGCTATTTCTTCAGATCCTGGGGAAAGAACAGGATGATGATTCGGACTGACCTTGATCAGGAGGACGAAGCAGATTCTTTTACAGTTCTTCTTTAATTGAGCTAGCAACTCCCAAGAAGGCTTGTCCATCATATATACATTATCTAAGAAAATGATCACTGGAGGGACTTCCAAGCCATGATTAGGACTACTTTGCTTATTATAATTAATATCTCCTTCCTCAAGAACTTCTTTCTTGACAAATTCACAGAGGAAGTCGAGGATTGGGTCTTCAATGTCATGTGGGTATTTCTCTCTCTGAATGAAGGCTAGCGCCTCCTCTTCTAGCTCAATCTGGTCAATTTCTTTGGGAAGTTCCAGTCCAAATATTTTTTCAAGAATAAATATTTCTAAATGTTAAGATGGACTATTACTGTTCTCGATATCTTCGTTATTTGCGTACATATTGGCTAGGATTATTTCCTTCTTCATGTTTCTTCTAGCCTGAAGGATATCTAGCATCGCACGCAGTATGGGAATCCAAATGTTAAGGAACAATTTTTCAGAGGTCGAGTTAAGGGTCGAAGCAAGGATTATAATCTTTTCCTTGTTGGCCCAATCTGTTTTGATCTTAGCCGTATCCCGCAGTTTTTGGATAAGAGATCTTGCAAATAGTGTTTTTCCGCAACCTGACTCTCCGTATATGGAAATCATCACTGAGTAATCCAAGTCATTGACAAATTCGAGAATATCAGAGATTGCTGTTTCTATGTCGTTCGCTCTTCCGTAAATTTTAAAATATTCATTCTGATACTTATTTTTACGATCAATGAGGAAAGGATTTGAATATAGCTTTAAGTATTTGAAAGGATTCATGTAATTTTCATATGAATCATGATTCTCTTCTTCAGGATCTAATGGCTCATAGATAGGAAGGCTCACACTTTTTCCTTTAAACCTACAATGTTCGATATACTCAAATTCCAAAAATGGGGAGGCTTCCCTCATAGTTTGGAAACAAACAAAGATCTTTCCTTTTTCTTTCTTGCTCCATCCCATAATTCTTGCACTAACATTGACCACATCTCCTAGGACTGAAAATTCCTTTCTTGAGCCACTAGTACCAACCACTCCAGAGAAGACAACTCCTGTAGATATTCCGATGCAACACCATCATCCGATATCAGGACTTCTGAGTTTACTTCTGATCATTTGAGCAGCAAGGACTGCACGAGTGGCATCATCTTCATGAGCCATTGGGGCTAGTCCCCAGACACAGATAAGGGTACTTCCTTTGTCATCCATGACTAATTTGTTCAAACTTCCTTCCATTCTATACACAACTTTTTGGATAGTTGTGACGATCTTCTGTATCTTATCCATTCCTTCCTGTGTCTTTGCACTGGAAAGGTCGACTCCGAGAGAAGCGAACATGACTGTAAGTTTTCTGGTTTCTCCACAGTACTCTCCCATATTCACTTCGATGTAAGGCATAATCGCGTTTGGGACAAAGTTCTTCAAGTACTGCATTGCTTTAATCAATTCATCCTTTTTCAAAGAATTAATAAAGATATTTGTAACTGCGATAGGAGGAAGACTTGCTCCAATAAGTTTGAGAATTTTGACGTTGCTGATCCTTGGAATCTCTTCTCCTTCGAAGTACTCTTTGACTAACTGCCAGACTTCTTTAGAGACAATGATGTCCCCTCCAACAGCATCTTCTTCAGATGAAAGGGCTTGACTGAGAGCTTCACCTACTCAAAAGTATTCTGCTCTTTTGAAAACTCCTCCTACATGAAGGAGGGATCAGTCACCAACACCGATTCCAAGCTAGATAAAAATTCATGATTTCTGTTAAATTGAGGACTTACCTTGACTGAAAGACTTGAAATATTCTTCATGATTTGTTTCCCATTGAGTTCAGCCTGAATATCAACGGCTCACTATAGGCTAGTCATGTTTCATTTACCTTAATAGCTTTTCTAGAAACAGAGGCTAGGTCATCATCTGGGTTATTCTCATCACGAGGCCAGACGACAATCATGGCATCACCTACAAACTTGATAATATCTCCTCCATATTTTCCAAGTCCTTTGACTATACTTTCCATGTACCTGTTCATACAGAACGACAGCTCTTCTCACCCTCTCGATCCCATTTTGGCACACATTTCCGAAATCTTAGTAAATCCACTATAAAACCAATCTTTAGACCCAAAAACCGAGCGATTTTTCAAACAAAACACCCTAATTCATCTTCCCGACCTCCAATTTCCCCTATCTAAAAGTCCTATCCAACCTCCATCCGTCCTCTAACAGCCTAACTCCTCTCCTTTACCTTATATCTGCAAACAATACGACTGTATTAAGCGGTTGGATGCTTGGGAGTTCCTCACTCCCCTTCGACCTCAACTGGTGTCCCAGGATTAAAGAAGGAATATAGTTTATTAAGGACCTTGACATATCAAAACTGTTCTTCTTGCCACCGTTTGTCATCATTTTTATTTTTATATTTTTTTAGCAATCCTTGGGTTGTAGTATGGGGTTTTGGGGTTTTGGGGTTTTGGGG